GCTTGGGAGCATGACCTTTTCCTGAACATTGTAACATCTCTAGAACGAAAAATTTCCTAGATCTCATCCATCCCGTCTATGTACTAATGTCTTTTTGACACAAGGTGCTGGGTACAAAGTGTTGCTCACAACAGTTCTTCACCAGTCCAGCTGTTTGGGTTCCAAAGGACTTAGGGGGTTGCCTCTCGAACTCAAAGGGGTTAGGCTTATCCTTGAGCTGTGCATGTTGTGGATTCAGTAATGCTATGCATCCAGGTTATGGTTTACATGGACAATGGTTCGCAGAAAAACACGCCTCACAATCTTTAACACCCTAGCGCTTGAAGAGACTTGGCAGAGGTTGCAAAGATAGCACAGTGCCAAGCGCCAATGATAACATATGATCAAACTGCACCTCGAGTTTCCGGACTTAGCCGGCGTCGCGTCGGCTTAAAGCGTTTTCTTTTTCAAATGTTTTCAACACGCAACTTCGATGGTCACTCTGGTCGAGGTGGCACCAACGCTTGTCGACGCATGTTATCAGCATTTCCGCACTGAGCTCGAAGAAGTTCTCGGGTCAACACAGCACAGCGCAACGCGTGAATTTGGAATCACTTGAAGTGGAGGAAATTTCTGGAACAGATGTGTCTGTGTCTCACATGTGCGTTTCAAGCAGATGTGCGTTTCAGTATGTTTCATTGCATCCAAACATGTTGGTGATTAACATTTACCATGTTTCTTGCATGGTGGGATTGCCGCTAGATTCGGACAGATTCGGACACCGCAAAACGTGTGTATCATCAATGTCGTCGATTGGATCTGCTTTGGATCCACACGTTTTGACCTCCCAATGTCCGCGAAGGGTACTCGCATTCCGCGCACTGACCCGAAGCGATGCGGAATGGAATCGAATGAACTTGATCGAGAGGGTACGTTTTTTGGACCAATTGATGCACTTCAACTTCGGCGCACCAATCGTGTGCGCTTTGTAGATGGTGTAGCATTCACAACACTTTGTCAATTGTTTTTTGAACAGCTTTGGGTGGATCTGGGTGCTTCCCGGGATATTTTTGGTTTCTGCACTTCCCATTAGAATGTGTGGCACATCAAAACACATCACACACATATTTCATCACATGAATCTTGATTCATCACCATGACACCATGTATGTGCACATCATCTCCCGATTCACCCTGCACGACGTTTTTCCTGATAGACGTGACCGCTGGGCTTGGAACTCGGTCTACATGGGTACTGGGGCGGTTTCCTGAAAAAGGCTGAAACGAAAGGAAACCGTGTGAAATCGCTTGCTCGGCTTAGAATTCGGGGATTGTTACGGCTTGGAATTTGTAAAGCACCCTGGAAAGATTTCGACGTCGGATGATTTCGCGGTGTGTACCTTAGCTTGCAGCGCCGTGTAGTTTGGCGTCTTGCTGTCCTTAGTGCCGAGCTCAGAGGCCGTTGTGGCCATTTCATCCAAGAAAGTTCACACCTCACCATGCCCCCAAAAATTGTGGCACAATAGGCCGAGGGCCTGGCCGAGGGTGTGTGTTGAAACTTGTTTCGCAGTACAATATTTGTGAGGCAAATCAATCAGACAGTTGTTGCTGACTGTTGCATCGCTCGACCCTGTTTCGTGACATCAACGCATGCAAAAAATAACAAACACCTATCACTTGGCCTTTTTCACGAGTCTTTCCCAAACGAACTGAAACCGAACAGCTTCAGCGGCCCAAGGCCGCCGTTAGCTCACGGGCCGTCAGGTCGGGACGGGGTGTCTGTGCCGGTTCTCGCCCATTTGGCTCGAAGGGATGCATGGAAACCAGGTTTCTGCGCTTGGCGCAGGAACTGGGAGCCATGGTGCCTGGCAGATGCTTGTTTCTGCTTGTGTTCCTCTGCAACTTGGTGCGTGCACTTGGCAACTGCTTGAATGCCAGCGATGTGGTGCCAGTGGCTGATCGCATCAACATTGTTGTTAATGGGGAAAGCTTGCCCATTGGGTTTTCGAGCCCAGATTGGGATTCGGCCAAAATCTATAGCCGCATTGCGGAAATCATCACACAGGAGATCTTGGGGTTTAATACTCAGATGGGCCCGCACGGAGATGAATCTCAATCAGCCTACAAACTTGTTGCAGAAGGCAACAGCATACACTTCTTGAGCGAGATTTGGTCCTCTTTCACTGCTGAGATCATAGCATTTGAGGCGGCAAATCCAAGTTTGGCTTTGCCCTTGCTGAAGACGTTGGACTACAAGGGACGGGATGGAATGCATATTTTTCCCAAGTCCTCTGAGCCCTATTACGACTCCAATGGCAGGTCGTTGGAGTTCTACCAGTACTTCAACGCTTCGGTCTTGACTCTCACGACGGAGTTCTCCCCAATCTCTGCCTTTGACATCAACAGCCTTTCAGCTTGTGATGGGTCCGAGTCAGGTCCCACGGAGCAAAGCTACTACTTGTCAGCCACAGGCGATGCAGGTGCTTTCACCGTGCTGAACGGAGTGCGGACATGGAATTGCCATCAGGGAAAATGGTGGCTGTCCCCTGCGTGTCGAAACGATCCAAGCACCTGTGTGCCGCTGCTGACTCACCTCTTTTGGGGTTGGAGTGAAATGAGACAAAAGGCCGCTTACTTCAACATGCCCATTGCCATGGGCAGCACACCCTCCGCCGAGCTCTATGTCGAATGGCCGAAGAATCATAAGATGTTGGTCTCTCAGCCGAACAAACACGTTTCCACACGGTTACGAGACCAGTCGATGGGACAACGTGGATGGCATCGCGGATGGACGATGACCATTTCCCAACCAGAAACACTTCTGGTCGTTCCAACATGGCGCCAGCTTGAAATCCTTGACGGAAATGGCTGGGACTGGGTTTCGTTCCATCCACTCTTTCTGGCTGGGACTGGTTTTGTTCCAGGTTGTTACTGCAATCCGAAGACCCGTCACAGGTTGCTTTCCCTTTGACTCGTGTTTTCCCCGAGTCGACCGATCTCGGTCCCCCGTCGGCGACATCCCGGTTGGGGCGGAGGGGGTGCGTTCAACACAACCGGATCTGCGTTCGAAGCTTCTTTGTGACGTTCGTAGCAATGGCCCCCGTTCGTAGCCTTCGTAGCGGAGTGGTGGTCTGTTCCGGCCCCGGCCATTCCGGCGTCGTGTGACCGTCGCGCTGACCGAGGCCTACTGGTGGACCCCGGACGATAAGTTCAAAGCGGAGGGCGCTTTGCAGATGTTCTTTCCAGATCACAATCCGGGCGAATGGGACGTTGGTGTGAAAACCAGCATGCCAGCAGAAGAGCCCTTGTGGGCCTACTACAAGCCAGGAGTGGATTCTGCTGCGCCCAAAGTCTTCTTGGTCCTTTCCAACATGTGACTTGTCTGTTCAGCAGGAACATAACTGTCTGAGGAAAAGGAGATGTATGGACAGAGAGATCGATCCCTGCGTTTTTCAGGAGCCCTCGGGTTGATGGCACAGTCCAATCGCCCTTGCCTGTTGTGATTGTGTCCGTTCGTTTCACTTTGGTGTTTTCTTCCTTTATTTTCGTCTTGGTGCACTGCTCAGGGCTCTGTATGATGATGACATGACTCACCTTCTGAACGAAGTGGTGCGCTTGCGGACTCAAGGTGCCTTGGCTGTTTCTCTGGTGCTCAGGGCCCTTTGGGCCTTTCTCTTCCGTCCTTTGTTTTGGTGAATTGGAGTGATGCGGTTCCCGGATACCAGGAGTAGTGTCGAACATTGTTGACACGGTCGCATGCAACTGGCTCAACAACAACGTGGCGCGTTGGCGAGCTTGGATTCCCATTGCAACAGAGTGTACACGAAGCCTTGGCTTTGGTATGACTGCCGAGAATGGGACCTTCGTTTTAGATGCTGGGAAAAAAAAGAGAGATGACATGTAACTTTCTGGACCTTCACCAACACAGGGGACTGTTGCTCCGTCCCCACACCGACTGAGCGCAAGCAACTCAGGACCGAGCGCATGCGACGGGCTGCACACTCTGCAGTCCGGGCAAATACGCTTCGTCCTATGCAGATGATGTGGGGCAGTCGGCGGTCTGCCTGGCTTGCGCCGAGCTCAGACCACGAAGCGGATTTGGATGAACGAGACGCAAAGAGACTCCGAAGCGCAGCCCGGCGCCCCGGCCCTGCCCCGGCCCTGCAGGCCCCTCTGGATCAGCTCAAGATCGCGGTGGTCAAACAGAGTGTGCGGAGTGTGCTGCGGGCACTTATCGAGTAGATTCAGGCGTCTCGGCCTGTTTCACAGCACGGAAAACAGCTGGATGAAGGAAAGCCGTTGTTGCGTTGACTCAAAGAAGGAGAACAATGAAAGACGATGCAACTGTGGAGAATTGTTCTTGTTTTGAGGCTTTGACTCTTTTTTTCGAAAAAAGGCTTTAGAGCCCCACTTCAGGTGTTCGTTGCAGTCCTTGTGGGAAGGGTACTTACCAACCAGCGGTGGCACAAGACAGCTGCCTGACATGTATGAGTCCCATGACGACCGTCACGGTGGGAAGTGACACCCAGGAGCGGAGGGAGCGGAGCTGATTCGAACACGAGAGTAACCGCTCTCACTCTCCGTCTTTTGGTTCGCTGAAAAAGCGGAGCTGATTGAGAGCTGTCATGGCTGTCATTGCTGTCATTTGCTCATGCGGACGGTAGGAACCGTGTTTTTTCAGTTTGTTTGTTTTCATTTGGTGAGAAAGTGACCTGACCTGACACGTCTCTCTCCAAAACCGCCGGTTCGCTGGTGGTTGGTTCGCCTCCCTGCAGAGGAGCTTTGCATTTGCCCGGCCGGCACCTTCCAGCCTTGCCTGGGTGGTGGAACACGATCGGAGTGCGCCTGTCCGGCCTCCTTTTACACAAGTTCGAGTTCTCGTTGTGTGGAGTGTCCGGAGGGCATGTATTGCAACGAAGGCTCTGACGAACAGTTCTTCCCGTGCTCGGTGGGTGAGATGCAGAATTCCACGTCGAACCCCTACCCGAAGCCGAGTGAAGGGTATTTTGTTCTCTTGGAGAAACCCACCGATGTCTACAAGTGCATTGATGAGCCCTCCTGCCCTGGGGACTTTGCTGACCATTGTGGTGATGGCTTGATGGGAGTCGCCTGCGGGGCGTGTGCGGCCGGCTTCTACAAACAAGCAGGCGGTCCGCTGCTGTTCTTCATATGCCGGCGGGTTGTTTTGTTCCAGTTCCACCAGAATTTGCAGTCAACGCTGTTTGCTTTTGCAGGTGATTATTCTGTTGCAGCTTTTCTTTTTTCGAAAAGCTTGTGATTGCATCTTGCATCCGTGAGGCTCATGCAATGAATGTGGCGATTTGGAGCAGAACCCGCTCTTTTTGATCTTGCCTTTGCTGGTTTCTCCCGTTTTCGTCTTTGCCTTCTACAAGGCGCTGGTTAAACTCCATCCGAGACCAGCGAAGAGATAGACGCGTTTTGCCTTTTCGTCTCCAAGAGGCGAGTTGACGAGCTTCCAAGCCGGGCCGCCGAAACGAACGAGGAGCTTCCGGGGATTCCCCCGGCCGAAGCACCAGTTGTCCGCCGAAACAAAGTTTGGGATGTTTGGGATGTTTGAAACGACTCGACCTTCTTTGGTTCCCCTTCTTTCTCGATAGGTCTTGGTCGACCGGCTCAACGTCCCCCTTCGTGACCGGCTGCCTCGACAGGTCTCCCTTGTGGACGTGCACCTGTGGGGAAGGACTGGTCAAGGCGGGTGATTTGTTGGTCGAGGGCACTTTCCACAGGTGACCGGAAAACAAGCGTATCAAACAAAGGCCAACGGATAAAGCATGCAATCGCCCAAAGAAACACAGCGCAATTTCACACAAGTTCATCTACATCGATGCCGGGTGAACCTCCCTTCGCCGGTGTCTCCTCCATGGCCGTCTTTGAACGACGGCGGGCCGACACGACGCCCCGGCGACACGGGCGTCCCGGAGGGGAAGTTTCTTTGTGGCCGGGGTCGGTGGAGGTTTTTCGGTGACACACGGCCACTGCGACACAGAGAAAGCGGCGGTTTCGGCGGAGAAACGGAACCGAGCAGCCTGGCCCTGGAATAAGCGCCTTTTACAAGAAACCAGCGAAGTGATGGAGCAAACGGCAACTGCGCTCCACAGAACGGTTCGTTTGCCCAACTCTTAGACCTTTTCAGGTTAACTTTGTTCGAGGTGAGCTGAAGCGATGGAGAATTTGCTGGCGAAAGTTATCCAAAAGCCGGTTTTCGAGAGATTTGGTCGTCAGGAAACAGATTCTGAAGGTTTATTCCGGTGTTTAAAGTTTCAAGGAGTAGTTAAGTCAAAGACCACAGCCTTAAACACAACCGTGTGAACCACGGGTGTGCTTAGCAAGAGGTGTGCTTCAGCCGTAGGAGACTTCAGGGCTTTCGTGCTTCAGTGTAGGGGTAGTTTGCTCAACAGTCGCCACCAGCCCCAGGCTTTGGTGGCATTGGTTACTTGATGCTCGTCTACGTCCAGACGGTCTCAGTGATCATCTCGATCTTCCCAACTTTACCTGCCACGTTGGCGGGTGGCGCCTCGACGTGTCAGCCGCGACGTATGCGTCGGGAGGTGCCGGGTGGGGAGTCGGGCGATTGGTGATGGACAGCTGTGGAGAGAAGTCGTGGTGTACAGAGAAGGAAGTCGTGGTCTTTTGGGAGGGAAAAGCAATGAAAAGCATCAAGCAATGCCTGTCCTTTTGGCTTTGTGTTTGGAGAAGACCTGAATCTATCCCAGCCCGGTAGACTGGGCTACCCTCGAAGGGGTCGAACGACATTCGCCCTGTTTTAGGACATGCCAGTGGCCCTTGAATCCAAAAGCAAAGGTCTTCACATACCCAAAAAAAACCATGTGTGAAGAGCTCCCAAAAGAGCTCAAAGACCATGACATCACGTCGTATATGTTGGTGGGGCCACAACGAGTCTGTTGGTTTGTTCCCATGTCTTCGTGCGGGCTCTACTTTCGCGTCGACGAAAGCGGTGGACCCGAGGCGTCGGGTGGACTGCCACGTCGGCAGAGATCACCAGCCTCTTCCGCTTGGAGTGTGCAGGCCATTTTGAAGCAGCGAAATGGCGTTGGAAATGGATTTAAAGAAGCTGGTCACCCAGCTTCTTTTTTTTTCAAAGGCGTTTTCTTGAAAGAAAGCTTGCACCTCGAAGCATTTTCTCATTCTTTTCTTGGAACTTCTACCGGTCTTTGATTGGAACTTCCAACATCGATGGAACCCGTCGAACCCCTCCGAGAGACAGTCTCAGAACGACAGGTCCCTCGGATTTTGTGGGAAGCTTCATCCTAAACTTGGTTTTGCCAGAGATCGCGGGTGCCATTTTCTTCGTGACCTGGTTGGGAGCAATGTCCCGGCCTTAGAAACCAGATGAAACCTGCAAACGCCTTAGGTGATGGAAGGTTTTTGTGAGGTTTTAGTGACGTTTTTGTGTGCTTCTCCCGACTAGACTGGTGACAGTCACTGGTGGACACTCCAGACGGTGTGACATTGTGTTGAAACACTCAGGCTCATCGGCAAGCAGGGTCCTCAGAGCGGGTCCGTCTCCGTTCGAGTGGAATAGACCCGTCGACTTCCATCGCGGATTGGCCCTGAGTTCCAATCGTTTTTGGTCGCAACCCCCACCGTTTCCGTGTGTCCTTTCGTCGCAACCGCTGACTGAGTGTCGCTACGTTTTAGGTTCGTGCCCAAGCTGCGCATGGACGGCGACGTGGTGCTGGGCTGCTTCGGCGCGATCCTGAAGACCTTCTTCGTGACCGTGGCCTCGAAGTGCTTCTCGCTCTTCCAGCTCTATCGCCATCCCAACGGCAGCTTCTCCATGCGCGCCTCCCCGGAGGTCCTGCAGGGCTCCGAGGAGTGGTCCAGCGCCTCGGACCGACAGTCAACCCAGCATTCCCTTGCGTTTGATCTATAATAGGATTCATTAGATTGTCCAAAGTTGCTGTATCTAATTTTATATTGCTATTATACATATATATATATATTTTTTTATACACAACTGCAATATAACATCATATGATGTTTGAACAGATAGTTCTTTTTTTGCTTCTTCAGCAGCTTTTTTAGTGGAAGCCATGGCCATTGCATTATTTTCTAGATTTTTTTTGGTTAATCCATATTCTTTGCATATAATAGTAGCAAGATAGTCAAATATCTTTTCATCAATTAATGCTCCACCAAGTAATGTATCTCCATTTGTAGATTTTGCTTCTATAAGCGAATGTTGTTCGCCATCATCATTATCGTTGGATAATTCCAACATGCTAATATCAAATGTGCCTCCTCCAAAATCATATACAGCAATTATTCCACTTTGCTGCATCTTGTTTTGTTTCGCATATGCAAGAGCAGCAGCAGTTGGTTCATTGATTATACGAACAACATTTAAACCAGCTATTTGTCCTGCATCCTTTGTTGCCCGCCTTTGTGAATCATTGAAATAAGCGGGTACAGTAATCACAGCATCTAGCATTGTTTTTTTCTCAAGATCAAGTTTTGTACAAGCAAATTCCTTACATCTACCTAATACAACTGCAGCAATTTCAGTAGGTGTTTTTTTAGTCCCATTTTGAAATTGTATAGCTAAGCCATTTTTATCTGAAACAACACTATAGTTAAGCTTAATTTTGCCTAGTTTCCTTGCTCTTCATGTTCGGAATAGGACAAGCCAATCAATCTTTTTGATTCGTATACAGTTCTTGAATTAGCAACTATCTGCCGCAATGCTGTTTCCCCAATAACAGATAATAACAGCAGACATATCGTCATTATAAGCTACCACTGATTAAGGTTGTTCGTCTTCCTACATCATTTTCTATAATTTCTGGTGTTCCGTCTCTAACTACCGCAACACATGTATTGGTAATACCCAGATCTATACCAATAGAAAACTTTTTTTTTTTTTTAACCATAATTCACCCTTTTTAGATTAGTCTAGTATGACAAAAAAATATGTTTTTAATACGAAGAAAAGAACAAGAAGAAAATGACTGTTGACACGGCTTCAAAAAAATGTTAAGGATTATATATTCTTGATACAGTAATACTACCACCTCTATCCATTCTTGTTATAAAATATGGATGAAGTTCAGACTTTAGTTTTTGTATACCTTCTGTACATGTGTTCTGATCTAGTTGACTTATAGGCAAAAATGCTCGAGCAGGATATGGCATTATTGAAACTATATACCCGCTCGCCACAGTACTTGATCCAAGAATTATTTCATCTACAGGCTTTCTATTGTTATAGGAGTCTTCTAATGCTTTCCATGATTGTATTTGTGCTCCTTTTACAAAGCTCACAATTGTATTATTCTCTCCACTTAGCCTTCCAGCAGATTGAAGCCATCTCAATTTTATCACCTACATCTGGCGGACGGGGTTGGACAGCGAGGGGATAGGGTTGGAGGACCGACTCAGAGTGGAGGGGTTGGAGGACGGGTCAGAATTACGGTTGGGTCACGCACAAGACTTCTGTTTTGGGGGAAAACATGGCGCATGAGTTCGCCTTGAGGAGCCAGCGGCCGCTTCGCCCATTCGTCGGGTTTGGTCCATTTCCTCCCTTCTTCCGTCTCGAGACGAACACGGCACACATTTCCCGAATTGTTACTACTAGTAACAAGTGCCACGCTAGTAGTAACAGGTGCCTTACTAGTAGTAACAAAAAGCTATTAGAATTAAATTAATAGCTTCTTGTTACTACTAGTAAGGCACTTGTTACTAGAAGCGATGCACTTGTTCCTAGTAGCTTCCTGTTTGTTCATATTTCCCTTTTTAATATTTTTCATCTTTTTTCTCTCTTTGAAGAGCTCCGTACTTCTCTCCGCCGTGGTCCAGGTATGGTGATCTTCTCCGCCATGGCCATCTGCGTGAATTGCGTCTTCCTCTTGGTGGTGATCAGTTGGGCCATGTGGGTCGCACCGCGACGCTTCCACTTGAAGAGCTTCCGCATGCGCTGGAAGTTCATGATCCAAAAGATGCGTCCCTCCGTGTATTGGTGGATGATGACCATTTTCTTCAAGGCGAGACGGGAGGGAAGAGAGAGGCGACACCATGAAACATGAAAGGTCGTAGATTGTATTTTTGGGCGAAAAAGACAGACTTACAGACCGCTTTTGGAAGCAAAGGCGATATTCACTTGGATGAACACGCGACACCAGTTGTGCTTCGCAAGTGGTGTAAGTGGTGTAGCAGTGTTGAGAAGTACAAGTATCTAGGTGCAACCTGAAGCGTTTTGAGTGAAGCTTGCAGAACGCCGTAAAAGAACTGAAAAGAAGTGCAAGACTACGACGGAATGGTGGACTAATGGTGTTTCTTTATTGATGAATTCCATGCAAAAGCATCAGCAGAACGAACGTGAATAGAAGATCAGTTACTCCAGACGTGGAGACTTCTTTTGTTGGCTGTCCGTGTCTCACTGTATAAATCAGATTTGTGGGGCATGGCATGGCTCCAAAACCGAACACCTGCAGGGCCTATGGATTTCACTGACCGGAGTGCTCTTCACAAATGCCATGCGTCAATCACTCTGGATTTGTTTTGGTGTCCTGCTTGCATTTTGTGTCCTGCATCGCAAGGTAGCAAGAATGGCACATGCCATGACTATACTCGAAAGACCTCTACAAGCGTAAACCAAGCCCTTGCTCTTTGCTTAACCTTGGTCGACCAAGGTTTGCTCTTTTACACCACCATCAGCTATGTGTTTTTGCCTTGGCGCAGCGTCTTCGTGACGATCTTGGACATTGGCACGCACGTTTCCACATTGCTTCTTTGCCTTCTACTACCCTTCTTGATTGATTTCGACCAGGAGGAGCAGCAGACTGCAGTGTGTCTTCGAAGTAATAAGAACCGGGGGGCGTACGTCGCGATACCTATTTTTTCTTTGAAAGTTCTTGGGGTAGCCGTAATAAATGGTCACTTCTGGAGTTCATTTCATTCTGCCTTCATTCTGCTTTCATGTGGCTGAGTCTCTTTGTGGAGCTGAATATTTATACCTCCAAAAACCCTGATTTTGGGCACACGTATATCAAATTTAAATATGTTTTGTTCTGGAAATGTAGAATTCTATAGTTAAGGATGACCTGCTAAATAGGAATTGTGCATTATGTTCGTTGCTGATCGTTGCCCCCGCACGGCAAGATATTTTTAAGCTTCAGGGTACGGGTATGGGCCACAGTTTTCTCTTTCTTCACAGACTGGGATTTCGCAATTCTTCCAATCTGTTGCCGCTGGACTTGGGCCTGGGAGGGAAGGGATTCTTTTTGTGCCAAGAAGAGTAAACCCATTGGTACGGGGGTTCCCCATCCACATGGGGAAGCACCGACTTAGATGTGCACGTCCGTTGGGGTCTGGGGATGCTTTGGACAGATCCGGTCTGGGGAAGCGACCCACCTGGGCGGAAACGGCAGGCGGAGGGTCGGTTCGTGTGATCGTTGGTCAAACGAGCTGAGGGGGTGCCGGAAGGCGCTTGGGCGTCTTCTCGGCGTCTTCCGTGTCGGGACTCGCACAGCCGGAGACGACCCCGCTCCGGTGCCGGATCGGTGCCGCCGCGGCGGTGACGGCGGCCGCGCTCCTAAGGACGATCTTTGTGACGTTGTCCATCCTGGGCTTCTTGAGTCGCCTGGGCTTCGACCGGACGCGGGACGATTTGGTCGTTTCGACCCCGGAATGGTCGGTCGAAGGGTCTGAGACTCGTGGAACGGCCGGCCTCTCAGGCGTGGTGGGCTCGATGCTGTGGGCATTGGTCAAAGGCTTTTCGCCCTGGTGGAAGAGGCGAAGGCACGGAGCAGGTTTTTCAGGTATGAGTCTTCTCTTGCAGAGTTGTGTTGGACAGAGCGTCTTTTTCCGGAAGGCGTAGCAAAGGGTTCTCGTTGGTCTCTGGGGGTCTCGGGGTAGAGTTGTAGGCGCAGGGAATCGTGAGGTTGTGGTGTTTGGTGGAGGTGAATTTTGGAGAGACGCGTGACTCGAGGTTGACGCGTGACTCGTCTGTGGCGCGTGCGGTGAAGCTACGTTTGTGATGTTGTCCCATGAGTGTCCCACGACACTTCGCGCAAGAGTGTCCCGTTTTTTTGCGGAGTGTTCCAGAGTGTTTTTCAGGTGTTTCACAAGAGGGCCTTACAATGTTGGGCCGTTTGTTTTCTGTTTTCCATTCGGGCTCGTTTGTTTTCCATCATTTTCTGATGGACGCAGCTTCTTCCACGTGTTTCCACATGGAACACATCTGTTCTCGTTAAACGCGTTGCGTTGCGTGGCTCGTTTCGTTCGGCGCCGCAGGGAGAGGAACATTGAATACTATGCCCAGCGCATGGCGGATGTCTTCAGTTCAGCCACCGAACCTCGCCTTCTCGCTGAAATGATGACAGAGATTCCGGCCTTGGACATTCTGGAAATCAAGTATGTCCCTGGGATGTTTCAGCGGCAAAAACGCACGGGTTGCTGTTCCTTTTTGATTCTTTTTTAGAGCTGCAATGAGGCGTCCTCTTTTCTGTTCAGTCGAAACCGGAGAAACGGATGCCATCTTCGTCGTCGACTCCTTTTTTTTGCCCTCAACTGGCGCCCAGGTCGCGACCATGATGTCCTCTGAACTCTTGGGGAAGCATGTGATCGGTCGTTTGGATTGGGGGGAACCTGCTTTGGCAGATCCTGTGAAGGACCAGTTCACGGATGGAGTTGCTAGGTCTCAGGTGATCTGGACCTGAAGTGTCACTCGGGCAACCGAAGAAGTGTTGACCCGAACATCTCTGTGCCACCAAGTGGCGAAAGTCGGCGTTCAGACTGTTCTCAGTGGAAAGCAGATGATCAGAGGTGCCCTTCAAAAAAACCGAAGCGCATTGTGTGGGATATGAGCGATGTGGTTTACTGTTGGCGAGTTGTGGTTTCAGCTCTCAGGCCCTGTTGGACGATGGCGAAGCCATTGAAAACACTTAGACAGATGGAAAGCTGTCGCAAAATTGGATCAGGGTGAAATTCAATATACACAACCACAACCACAGCAGCTTTCCACCTTTAACTTGACTTGACTCAAAAGAATATGCGAAAAAAAGGTGCCTGGCGCATGTGTGTTGACCATGCGTGTAAAGCCTTTTGTTGATCCCTTCACTTTCTGACGTCGCCAACGGAATACCTGGCGGCGTCACGTCTGGCGGCGCTGTTCGGATCGGCCTGATTGGGGCGGAGCAGCTGCAGGGCCGGGAGTGTTCACGGGAGAAATGCAGAGAAATGCCACGTTAGGGCGTACACAAGGCTTCAAGTGGCCGTATGACACTCCTTTGACTACCGAAACCGCCAGCAGTGGAAGGGAAACGGTCACCAGCTAAACTATAGCCATCACCAACTACCGCAGCAAAAGCAGAGCTCACCACAGCCTTGGAAATTCTGACAAGCAAAACACTGGCACGTGCGGCTCTCACACCAACCAAACTGACAAACAGACAGAGACCCACGAACTGCAGCTCTCATCCACAAGATCTCGCCGAAAGATTTCAGCTTTCCACGAACGGCTGGAGCACCCGGGGGCACCGCTGCGCTGGAACCCCTGGCGTCCGCCGCTGCGTGCTGGAACCGCGGTCAACCCCTGGTCGTGATGAGCAAGGTCACGTCGTTTGCTGTCGATGTTCATCCATGAAAAGGCCATTTGTCGCATGACATGCATTGGGTCGTTCACTCATGTTTTGGGCTCAAGACACAAGGCGCATGTGTTCCGGACGATGCCGACCATGGCAAACGGCAAAAGATACATGCACATTTCAGCTGACGGTTTTTCGATCGACCGTGCGCCCGGTTTTCCGATCGACCGTGCCGCTGGCACGGGAACCAGAACATCATTTCGGTGGCGAAGCAGGGCGTGTAGCCATGAGTGCCAAGTGGGGCTGTCCCATGCCTGCGGATGACAACTTGTGGCTTCGGCTTTTTGTTTGAGTCGTTTGCTTTGAAGGGAAGCCCTCGTTGAAACCGACCCGCGCTTTCGGCCGTTTTTGGCACGTTTTCAAAGCCTCTTGGCTCAGGAAATGGCAGTCCAGGCTGGATGCAAGTGTCCCTTTCAAACGAATTTGGATTTCGACCCCAATTTCGCGTCAGATGTGTCCGGTCTGCAGGGAGTGGTGCCCTCAAATCTCTGGAGCTTCCTCCATCGGGGTGAGCAGCATTTGCGTGAGCAGCACCGGTGGCACTGGATTGCACGGAGGCTCAGGAACGGTTGGACCGACTGGTTGAACGAAGGAACTCGACCGACTGGTCGAGGTCAAGAAGCCTCTATTTGCAGCGAAGCATGTTACTAGTAGTTTTTTGTTCCTATAGTATAGCAATGCCAGGAGCTATATTCGTAGCTTCTTGCTACTAGTAGTAATGGCCTCCAACCGACTAGCGATGGCCTCCAACCTAGTAGTTTCTTGCTCCTATAGTAGTAATGCCAGAAGCTACTAGTAGCTTCTTGCTACACCTTGCTACGTACTAGCGATGGCCTCCAACCTAATATCTTCTTGTTCCTATAGTATAGTAAGGCCAGGAGCTACTAGTGGCATCCTTGCTCAGTAGCGATGCCCTTTGTTACTAGTAGCTAGGTCAAGAAGCCTCTTTGCAGCGAATCTCTCCTCGCGAGCTTCTTCAGACTCGGTGCCTTGGCTTCCGACTTGGTTCCTTTTGAGACCTCTTCCCCGAAGAGACCTCTTCCCCGGGCGGTCGTCGTTTCATTTGTCCCCAACGTCGGTGGGTCCCGTGGTTTTCGGGTCAACTGCAGGGCTCCTGGCACAGCCGGTCCATCTCGATGGCTGACTTCCAACAGAGGCATTACTTAGAGGTCGGAGCTTCGAATTCTCTCGCGGCTTGTTTTTGCAAGAAGATCGAAGAGACGTGAGTTTCGAAAGAAGAGTCTGATGGGATCTGATGGGAATTAGGTGTGAGGCCATGTGATGTTTGGACTTGACAGGACCTGAAGTCTTTTGCTGCGAGCTTCACCCTACCCATCATGCTGGTCAAGGAATGTGTGGGTCAGGCGAGTCGTCTCCATCCAAACTGCGTCGATCCGATCCGCCGATCCGCCAGGTCGATGACGACTTGCTTCAAACGGTTCTTCGCCTCGACGCCCAGGTTGCGACCGAACGACCGAACGAGAGTGTTTCGATGGAGACCGACCGCAGGCACAAGGATTGGTCGCCTTTGCAGAGGGAATCGTCCAGAACTTCACCACCAGCTGCTTCAAAGTGCTAGCAGCTTTGACTGAGTTTTCAGCTGATTTGTGACCTGTTTCAGGGTGATTTCACTGATTCTGACATCTAATAGCTTCTTGTTGCTAGTAAGGCCCTTGCTAGTAGCGATGCACTTGTTCCTAATAGCTTATCGTTTTTTGTTGCGTTTGATGCGTTTTTCTCTCTGAGGACTCTGTTGCCAGTCTTTCCACGGCGTCGCTGCCCCCAGATCGTCGAGCGTCGGTCGATTCCGCGGTGGAATGGGTCGACAGATCTTCCCATATTTTTTAACTGGTTTTGTTAGATGGAAGAAAAGGGAAGATGTTAGAGGCTGTTAGGTGCCTATCAGATGGGTGATTTGAATGAAACGACAGACATGTTGGCTCAGTGAGAGAGATTTGGGACATGTCGTTTTCCTCCGAGAGTCCATCGTCGATCTCGTCGCTCGGACGGCTCGGACGTTGGTGCAAAAAGTCTTCACTAAAAGGGTTGGAGTCTTCCCAGCGTTTCTCATCGTCCGTGCTCGTCTGCTGCGACGAAAGTCCACGTCGTCGAACGACGAGTTCGTCGCACCGAGGAATGGCATCGATATGGACCTGCTCAAAGAGGCGGGTCACCGACAACCCCGTTCCGAACGGTGTTCAGGGTGAACCACCCGTGCGAACGCGTTTTTGGAAGGGTTGCGTGGAGCGCGGGGTGGAGTGGAGCGCGCCAGGTGAACCACCTCATTGCCGAGTTGTTCAACAAAACGCTGGGCGCCAGGACACGATACATCGAATTGCTAAGTCAGGCGGGGACCCCAACGCCTCGTCGTCAGGCGTCGGTCGGAGTTCCGAACTGGGCGGAGTCCGGTCGGTGCCAGGTGCGATACCTGGGCGAGTGTGCCTTGGCGACGAAACCGGTCCGGCGGGGTGGTTAGCTCGTGGCGTCGAAGGTTTGGACCCAAACAGCCCGGTGCCGAGGTACACAACTCACCTTAGACCAGATCATCATGGCTCAGCTTCCGGAAGCTGAAGGCTGGATCACGATCACGGGATCGAGCTCGTTCGGAAAACCTGTCATTGAGGCTGTAGATGTGTGGGAAAAACGTGTGAACATGTCATGAGTCATGGCTAAACATACAATGGTTCTTTACTCGAAGAAGATGATGTTCAAATGGAACTTTGTGCAGGCCCGACTTATAAGTACACCATGCAATTTGATAGAAACACAGGCGCTCGTGTGTAGTATCAGAGCAGGCACTGTTGTTCATAAAGAGGCTTTCTTCACACTTCGTGACCGCCTATGTCTGAACGACATGTTCTGCTCAAGTCATCCAGGCGAGATAGGTGAGAGCCCTATGCCAGATGATTTGAAGTCTGAGTTTCTTGGATTGTTTTAGATTTATATTTTGATGTTTCGAGTCTTTGAACCTCCGCGACCCCAAAGTTTGGACGAGGGTTTCCGACACGACGAGGCCTCGCGAAACACGTTGGCATCGCCCGAGGCATTGCCTAGACGTTGCGCTGCGACAACTTCAAAAGGTGTGCTGCATGATGGAGGAGACGAATGTCCGCGTCCCGGCCGGCCATGAATTCCTTTTCGTGCACACGGGGCCTCGGGTGTGTGTGAATCTCAAGTGTGTGTGTGTGTGTGTGCCCCTTGGAATCACAGGGACCCTGTAGGATTGTTTTGATTTTTGATGATTTTTCAGCAGGGGTTCCGCGAACCGACCCAAGCAACGTTAGGCAATCCCACAATGCAATTGATTGCCCAACGAAGAGGGCTGCAATGTGGCTGATATCCGGAAGGGACGCCTTCTGGACGTACCTGCTTAGTCTAAGAGTTGTGGTGTTCACAAGCTTTTGCTCCAATTTTCCTGTAAAGTGCTAGTGCTTGGACCTCTTTTGGCCCTACTTCCTCTTGAAGACCTCCAGGTTCCGTAGGTTTGTTTGTCCTTTTCCGGACTTGGGAACCCAGGTTGGCGTGTGGCAACCCCTTTCAAGTCAGTACGCATTTCTATAAGTGTGTGCAGTCACTAGGTTAGCCATGGTCAGCCCATGATCAGGTTTTTCTAAACCCAGACCCTTCATGGGACTGGCATATATGCCTTACATTGAACCCACCAACCACCATGCCATGTATGCAAGGTAGTCCCAAAACAGGTGGTGTGTGGGACTCCAACCCACCAGAGCGCGGCGCTCCAGCAGGACTGCCCCCATTTTTGGCTCACCCTTCATGGCGCCGAACTGCAGCTCCGCAAGATTCACAAGGAAGCCGCTCGGGCCGTTCACCGAAGCGAGCGAGCGAGAAAAACGGTAATGACGGTGAGTTTTGCAATTGCGTCAATGGATTTTTGGGACATTGGCCTCCACACCGACCTCCTCTCATCTTCCGCACCAACTTCCCCATAGCGACTCCATCTCCGAGAGCTCTCCGTCCTCTCCCACCTTCCAAGTCCGGTGGTTTTTGATGGTTTTTGGACACCCCGAATCACCTCTAAGAGGTTTTTTTTAGGTTTCTTTTATATGGAATTTGCTCGTTTTGGCAACCTGATGGACACCTCGAACGGAAGGTTCTCCGTCCAGGCCCGCCGTTCGTTGTAGCCAACCAAGGCCCAGCTCCTGTGTAGCCAACCGCCTCGAATGGACAACTTAGGTGCCGTCCTGACGGGTCCGGTTCACGTCGCGTGTGACACACTTATGCGCAACCGTTGACAGTAGACGAGTTTCTTTTCTTTGGCGTCCTCACGGGGAGGCGCTTTTATGTTGTGGGGAATGTTTATTTTGTGTTCGGGAGTGTTGCGATGGGTTCTTCAGTAGAAATCTTTTGCGTAACGCATTTGCATCAATACATCCATATATAGCTGCACTATGCTGCACTTGTATGTATCGGATATACGTACGCCTGCAGCTTGTGTGTGTGGTCTTCTAGACCTGCTGCTACAGAAGTGGTAATTATATAATATATTTGTAACTTATATAGCTGCAGCTGTATGTATGCTACAATAGGTATGCTACAAGTACATCTACAGCTTGCATGTATGTTGTGTAGAGCTGCTGCTACGCTAGCGTTGATTTGGTGCTGGGATCTTGCTTTGGTGAATTGCTTTGGTGCTGGGATCTAGCTTGGGTGAATTGCTTTGGTGCTCTCTATCTATTCTTTCTTGGGCGGGGCCCTGGCTGGACAGGGCTCGCGAAAACGGGATTTTGTGCGAAGATCGTGTGCGTCGAGCGCTCAAGCGTGAGGCAAAAGGCAAACTCTGGCTGGAGACGAGCGCTCAAAGGTGAGGCGAAATGCGAATTATATTTCGTGGCCGAAGTGTGTAACTGTCGTCGGAAGTGACGCCTGGAAGGTGCCAAAGTGTGTAAATGTCCTTGAAAACGAAGGTGGAGGTCGCCAAAGTGTGTAATTGTTGTTGAAAGCGCAGGTGGAGGCTGCCGAAGTGTGTAGCCGTCGCTGAAAAAGGTGGAGGTCGCCAACGTGTGTAACTGTCGTCGAAAATGCCGGCGGAGGTTGCCAAAGTGTGCAGTGTGCAGTTTAACTGTCGCCGGAAACCAAGATGGAGGCAAGTGTAACTGTCGCCCAAAACAAAGGGGGAGGTTGCCACAGTGTGTAAGTGTCGTCAGAAAGGAAGGTGGAGGTTGCCAAAGTGTAGTCGCCGAAAACGGAGGTGGAGGTTGCAAAAATAACTGTCGTAGGAGTGGCCACTTGGTACGATTGCGCAGGAACCAGCTTCTGGGAGCTGTGGCTGAATGTTACATTGTTGTATCTAGCCTGTTGCACACCGTGTGGCCTTCTGACGTCTGTGATGTCGCTGTGCCATGCAGGTTGGCGCGGCCTCGGTGGAACGTGCATTTCCCTGAGTCTTTAACTGCTTTTGCGGATGTTGTGTTTTACGGATGTTTGTTGCATTTGTACGTAGGTGTGGTTTTTCAGAGCTGCTCCTACGGAGGTGGTAATATGACACTTGCTAGACTTGCTTTGCTGTTGCGATCTTGCTTCGGTGCATTGCTCTAGTACTGGGATCTCGCTTCGGCTACTCTTGCTGCTACCTTGCTTCAGTAAATAACATGTCACATGTCTGCAAACTCGAATTTAACGGTCGTTCCCTGTTCTACATACTCTTTCCTTCCAGGTTCCCGGGCCATTCGTCTAGTTTTTTCACTTTTAACTGAACATCGTTTCGTTTCCTTTTCACCTTAAGTTTCAGATAGAAACTATCGAGCCAACGACGTGTCAGACCTCTTTCGCCGGAGGCGGGGCACGCCTCAACGCCTTCTGCGAGAAGATCCAAATCCTCTGCGAGGACGGGACGACTGGGACTTTCAGAAATGGCCCGACTGGTCGACCGAGTCCTCCAGTCACTGGTTCTCTTTCAGGAGCACTGTGGCATGGATGAGGCCGAGCATCGATGCGTCAATGCAAAACGAAATGGAGTGGCATGAGACCCACGGGTTGCGTGGCCCAGTCTGGTCAGAATGCTGCAGGCAAACTTGTCATCTGTGGAGGGCTCTTTGGTCAACGAGGCGCAACACAAGTGTTGTAATGGTCCCCAAATAGACAGACAAGTCAATTCCCATTAAAACATGTATTGCAGAAACCCTAGTGTAATATATCTATTTGGGGATCACTATATAGACACGTTTGGGAGGCAATGGTGCCGTTGTCCGTTGCGGGTTTTTGGCCGTGGCGGGCTTGCTGTGTTGCCGGCTTGGTCGCAGGCTGCAAGCCACGAGGCGGAGAGTTTTGCCAAAGCTTGCCGAGCAGAAGCCAAGTGGAAAGCAGAGGGGTGAACTCTGCGAATCTCAGGGAGTGGTGAACTGGGATCCTGTTCCGATGCGTGACTCGAAGTGAAGTCGGGCGGCAAGCCGCCAGGTAGGCCTACCTGGGCCTACCTTTTGAGGTATTTAAAAGGACCCACTAAACCTCACCTTGCACCTTGGGACCAGACTTGGGGCGCCAGGCAGGGACGGAGTTGGGCTCGTGTGGGGCCTCAGACAACCCTGCCACATGACGGTGGGAGTCGTCGCGGTGGGAGGGGTAGGGGAGTTGAGAGAGATTTCTGAAAGATATCTGGTTAATCTGGTTAAAGAATGACCCAAAAAAGAGACAAAGAGGAAACGCATCAGAATTGAGTTCGAGAACAGGCACATCAGACGTCAGACCGGACTTCAAGTGTGGACGGATGTTTGAAGCCGAGGTACTGACATAGGGATCTCGACTTCGATAGCCTCAATGGTGCATGACGCACCGATGCACAGGTTTGTAACGTCGGACGTTACGACAGGAATTTATCACGCGTCGATTCCCACAGAACGAGAGGAATCTGACTGGACTGCATTTGCGTCGTAGAGGCTGTCCTGAAAGGACAGTGGCAACCTGAAAGCTGGGCGTCTCATGAAAGCTGGGCGCCAGTGGTTGAACACCATTCCAAATGGGTGAGAACCTTCTCATTCCAATGACTATAGACAAGACCCCAGGATACCCCAGGTGTGTTTTTGACTCGACCGCGTTTAACATTTGTCATTCTTGGTTGTTCCCTTGCCCAGTGACAGTCTCGACAGTCACCCACAGCTTTCTTGTTTTGCTTCAGGAAGCTCAACTGGGACTGGGCTCGGGTCGAGCAACTCCGATTGGTCCACCATGGACCATTCCTGGCCGGGACGAGCAACTTTTTGGACGTTCCCTTCGTCCCAATCGAGCGGCTATCGGCTATCGCCTCTTGCCTCAAAGGCCTTGACTGCAAGGCTCTGCGTGGAACAGGCTATTGCCTCAATTTGATAGAAACCCACCAAGGAGAGTCCAATAGGTCCTTCTCCCTCAGACAAGCAGAGAAAAAGTGTGCAGAGTGCGGTCTCGTGACTTAAGGTTGAGACCGGCACGCGGCGGTTGAGACCGCGTCTTGAAGGTTGATCCTTTGTGTGTCTATGTGTCTTCGTGTGTGCGTGCGCGTGCGCATGTTCTTTGCAAAGGATATCATGCGGTTGTTCACGGACAGTCCTGGCAGCGATGTTCTCTTCGCTGCGCGGAACCGTACAGGGTCGCGACCGTCCAGTTCATCAAGTGCCGCGACCGACACCAGACCTATCGCCAGTAGGTTGGAGGCCATCGCTATTAGGTTCGAGGCCATTGTTAGTAAGTTGGGAGGCCATCGCTATTAGGTTCGAGGCCATTGTTAGTAAGTTGGGAGGCCATCGCTATTAGGTTCGAGGCCATTGTTAGTAAGTTGGGAGGCCATTCCTATCGTCTTTGTTCGTGGCCGACCACACCGGAACCCGAGTTTCGGAACCTGAGTTCGTCGCTTGGACCTTGAGCTCAACGAAAAGAAGCTAAGGAGGGCCCTCTTTCTCTGAGGGAAGATGAAAAGAAGCTCTCTTCCCAAACGGTTTTGTGGGAAATCTCTCCCTCCCCTTTCTCCCTTTCTCTCGCTCTTTCTCCCTTTCAACTCAAGTGTAGGTTCAACTTGCTTTGAGGATCTTTTAAACGTTTTTGAGGTGAACTGCTTAAGCTCAAGCTCATCGCCGCTCCATCGGCTCAGGGAACCGCGCGTTTGCCCATCGCGCCTGGTAGCGAACCAAAAGGAAAGAGAGGTTGAGACAGTTTGAGATAAGCCGATGATGCGATTCTTCTTGAACACCATTTCCTCATTTCAAGCCATTTCAAGCTTGACAGATCGACGTTTTGGGTCTTCCCCACAAGTCAACCCAGTGTCAGCTTTTTTGATTTACTTGGTTGAAGATTGCCGTATTCATACGCAGCGCGTGCGCGGCCGTGCCGCAGCACGATGGCCTTTGTTCGAGATCACGGCTCCTTGGAAAGCCATTTGTGAAATGAAAAAGAGATGAAGCTGGTGCAGCAAACCTAAGGCACATGCTGCATCTTCTTGCCCTTGAAGCTAGGGGTCTCCCTGGTGGCGATGTTGTGCCATGGCAGGATCAGTTCCAGTACCCGTTCAGTGGGTCGTACGACCATTATGTGATGGAAAGAAGCTGGAATTTCGATGAAAGACGGTGCTGTCCTCATCTTCTGTGTGTCCAGTCACATTCCAGCCGCCATGACCTATAGCTGGGGACCTCCGCTCACTAACCGAGAACCGAGCAGTCCGCTCGCCGCTCGCCGCGTCGAGGGTCTTCGTGGACGCCATCGTGTGCATGTTAGCCACCTTCACCGGAGACATTCGCTTCCAGCCCAATGGCGCCTTCTCTTAAGGACCGAGGAAGGGTGGGTTGTCCCAAGCGTTAAGAGTGGTCGTGGGTCACCACTGACGTGAAACCTCACTCTCTGTGTCACCAACTCTGGAATTGCCTGCAGTTGGGCGCTTGAAAGGGTGGGAACACCATTTTTCACCTCAAACGGGGACATTGTTGGACACCTCGAACCGTGAAGTCAAGGTTACAGTGAGAGCTTCTATCACCTTCCGTCACTCTTGGGTTTGCTTGGCATCGTCCTCGGCCCTCCTGCCGCGCTTGGCGTCCGCGTCCTGGGCGGCTGCGTCCGTCATAGACGTTCGCGCCAGGTTTCGTGGGCCTCCTGGGCATCTACGACGACAAGCCGCCCTGGACTCAGAACGAAGCAGCCCGCCGGGTGTCCGCCGGCCAGTTCAGAAAAATACACATGAAGGGCTGGATGAGAACAGTGAAGGGGAACTAAAGGACCAGTGTTTTCGAGGGATTCATTCATTCTTCCTTGAGGAACTGGCTCCAGTGGCTGGTCTTTTACTTACTGGTGAAACTGGTGGCCCTGGCAGCCAGTGGCCTTGCGGACTTCTGGACGCTGCGCAAATGCCGCCCGTCGGACAGCCCCTACCGCCCGCAAAGCGCGCCACTGAGAAACGTCACCGTTGGAGCGGCCGAGGTGACAGTTGGCTCACGTCTCCCGAGCGGAACACGTCTCCGAACGAGCAGCTCACGGAGCTGGCCGAGGCGGCGGGCGCCGGCGCGGCTGTCGCGACAGCGCGGACCTGGACCTCCACGCTCCCGGACGCGACCGGCTTCGTCATCCCCAACCATTTCGTCCGTGCATTTCGGTCATGTTTTTCAATGTTGTTCTTTTCCGGTTTGACTTCAACACCACGAAGCTGTGGAGGAACTGCTGAGTTCCAAAGACGCACTCCTCACCAAAAACCCGCGCCATGAGGTGTTGGATAGACATGTGGACATGTGGATCAAATGTCTGGTGTTTGTAAGAATAGTCGGATTTTTCCACTAGGCCCTAGGCCTAGGAGCTAAGTGGTTTGACAGCATGAGAAAGAACTGATAAACGTAATTCTTACATTGCGACAGATCAGCAGAGGAGGGAGTTGTCAGAAGTCAAATGAGAAGGCTAGAAGAACGTAAAGATCCAGATCAAAGTCTTACTGAAACATCCAACCTGAAATTGGATCGAAACTGTCAGGCAGGCGTTTGTCCTTGGGCGCGGCTTGCCTATGCTGTTGGCAGCTGCATGGTTGTTGCGCCTCTTGGATTCCGCTTGAAAGCCTGATATCTTCTGATCCTCCTGCAGCGAAAAGGTCAGCCTTGTTGGACAGCCTTGGTTAGCATCATTAATTCACTTTCTAATCAAGCAGGTTCGATGTTTTTCACGGATTCGATGCGATTTTGGCAAGTTCAGGTTCTGGACATACTGCGGCTCAGCTGGAATGGCGCAAAAGCTCTGGTGATTCACTGGGGCTACAGGGCGTGCGAAGCCGGAAAGCACCGGGCCTTGGAAGCGGCTCTGGTGGATTCCGAGCCTTTTTCAAGGCCTCATAAGGGCTGTTCTCCAGGTGCGGGTTCTGAAGTTGTGCCAAGCTATCCATCGTTTGGTGTGTTCTCTCTGACTGGAGAGTGTGCGTGGGTCTGGGTGACAGCCCACAAACAGCCAAAAGACTTAACAGACAGTTCGACGATTATATAGACCCCAAGTGGATCCCAGTTGCCATCTTTTCAGGAGCCGCTTTAAACAGGTCTATCGCTTGACTCGGAACTGGTGAAGTGGTCCTCAACAGGGTCCACGGCTGATTTCCGGAAGCTCATCAAGACTCTGCTTCCCGACACCGACACAAGGTGTGAGTCTATAGCGTTTTACGAGGTGATTCGGGGGGTCCCAAAAGCCGCGGTTTCGGTTTTCGGTTCAGTCTAAGGTACCTATTTCACCTATACCTACTGGCAGCAGCTTCTCGGCGGCACTCGCGAAACTCGCCTCTTGGTGGTTTCGTGGCGGGTTTACCGCGGTGTTTCGCCGGCAGGTTGGAATGCAACCCTGCTTACCCCATCGACTTTGGGGCTGAACGCCATGGTGCTCAGGGCCGCTGGGACCACTTTCAAGTGAAGGCCCGAAGAGGTTCAACTGGAAAAGATTTTTTCTGTGCTCAAGCTTGCAAGGAATTGATGCACTCTTCAATATGGATGATTACGAGATGCATAGCTAGAGTTGTGAGTAAGTGAAGCACATTCTTTCAGCAGGATCCTCGACTTCCTGAACACGAAGAGGGTTTGCCGCTGCTGCCGCAGCATTTGATGCACGAGGACCATGGACCGTCAGATACTTCTCATTTGCCCAAATTAGCAATGCTCGTTTGACTCAAGACATGCCTCAAAACACGAAGGAACCCCATGCGGTTTCGTGCCTCGACTCGGTGTGGTTTTCGTTCTGGGAGGAATCTGAAGTTGATGGCTATGGCACTCAAACTCAGAAGGTGCGGACTCAGCCTAGTCGCCTGGACCTCAGGCATTGTCCTGGGTCTCGGCACGTGGAGGTCGAAGCTGGAGATGTCGAAAGAAACGAGATGTTTCTCAAACGAACCGTTGGGACCCTTTGGGAAAAGCTTGCATGCGATGTTGATGTTCAGTTCGGAGGATTTTGTTGTGAAGAAGAAAGAAGAAGAAGAAGGAGAAGAAGAAGAAGAAGAAGAAGAAAGAAGAAGGAAGAAGAAGGAGAAGGACATGTCGTTTTTTTCTTCTGCAGATCCATGTTAATGTTCCTTTCCCGCTCAGATTATGGCCCGGATGGGCAAGAAATGGACTCGGAAGCGTAGACGCCGCCTGTTCCGCTGCCGGTGGCGTCCAAAAAGGGGGCGCGGGCGCATGGCAGAGTTCGTGGCTCCGAGAGCGAAAAGAGCACCCGACGGCACTGTGGGTGCTTTGGAGGTGTGCTTTTTCCTCTTTCGGGTGGGGGAAATGGTTTAGGAATCGGAGGCCCCAGACCGACGGAAACAGGTAGACCGGACCCAGGACGGTCATTTCTACATGGCATCAACCGGTACTTCAAGGCCATGAGGCTCCGGTCGTCCCTCGATGCTGCGGTCCCCCCTTTTTGGGCTCCGCCGCTCCAGCACTCTCCGCGCGGGCGGACGCCGCGTGCGTCCGCGTTCCGCCGCGCTCCGCATGGATGCTCGGGAGCCCGGGCGAACCGGAGTTGGTCGGTGTGGACCGTGGATGTCTCGTCTTGACTGATTCTCATTTGGGAACACTGAACCAAACACCTATGATTGAACCATTGAGTCTACAATCTGAATTCCAATTGAATCATTTTGAGATCAACTGGAACTGGATTTGACCGTGGCTCGTCTTGATTTTCTTTGCTGGTGAGCATCCATTTTGCAGCATCCATTTGGTTCAAGAACATGTTCCAAGACACCATGACAGGTAGGGGTTTTGTCCAGGTAATCATGTGCTCTCGGAAACAAAAGGAATCTGCAAGAATACACAACACACTTAGATGGTTGCTCGCAAGAGCTAGGATCAGAATGAAGTCCCACTTTACACGCATTAGACCTTGACTGAAAAAAGCACAGAAGGAAAGGTGATGGGTCCGCGGATTTGAAGGTGTTATAACAATGTTTCTTGAATTGCACGGCATTAGGTAGCTAGACCTGATTAAACAATTGAGCAGGTACACATTCAGGCGTCCCTGAATGCTTCCACCAGTCTTCCGTAGCTTCGTTGGGCAACGTAGGAAGACTGCTCGTTGCCCCCCTGCCTCTTTTGCTCGCGCAGTTTTTGATTTTGGTCTGGTTCCTAGTAGCAAGGCCAGGAGCTACTAGTAGCATCCACCTTCTAGTGAGATCTACGGCAGGCAACCTTACTAGGCACAAACCTTGGAAACAGGTGTCAACACAGACACACTATGCCGCAATCGGCGCTCTGTATCCCTTCCGTGAAACAATTGTTTGCAACAGCTTTGTACACATAACGCCGATATCGGCGGTCCGGAAGATTACTAGTCACCTAAAGAGCCTTAGAAAGACAGACAAAGAAAACAAAACAAAAGCGCACGAAGAGGGCAAGAAAGAAAGATAGGTATAGTGACGAGGCCCACTTAGTTAAATGAAAGTAGTTAGCGAGCAGGACTTTTGTCTTAAACCGCCCGGGTAGCTAGGAGTAGGACAGGAGAAACAGAAGGAAAGGCACCAACGCACAAGTGTGTTGAGTGCGATTTCCTTTGTTACCTTAAATAGCAGGTGGGATAGCAACAGAGGCCTGGGGCAGGGAGGGGCCCGAAGGCATTGCCATCAATGGCATTCAAGTATAGCCGATTGGGGCCGGCGCGCCCATTGTTTGAAAGACTCCTGAAAGACACCTGATGCCTGATACCTAAAGAAAGAAAGGCCTCAAGAAACGAAAAGCAACAGAAAGAGAGAAAGAACTCAAGAGCATGACAAGGACACGCAACTGAAGAGCAGCCTGTGGTTACCTAGCCGTGGAAACTGTACAGGTGAATACTTAGACGCATGTGCAAATCCTGACTGGATCGAAATCTCAGTGAGCCCTGCGGCATGATATCAGTGGTATCGAGCAAAGCAGTTAAGCCAGAAGCAATCAAAAGAAGTTCCAAGGTGGAAGAAATCCCCCAGGATCTGGGTCTATGCACATGCAGCGCCCCTCGACGGGGATCGCACCACAGCCTTCAGTGGGACTCTGTGGCGATACACACTTAGATGGTTGCTCGCAAGAGCGAGGATCAGAATGAAGTCCCGTGACTGAAAAAAGTGCAAAAGGAAAGGTGATGGGTCCGCGGATTTTAAGGTGTTATAACAATGTTTCTTGAATTGCACGGCGTTAGGTAGCGAGACCTGATCATACAATTGAGCAGGTACACATTCAGGCGTCCCTGAATGCTTCCACCAGTCTTCCGTAGCTTCGTGGGCAACGTAGGAAGACCGGTCGTTGCCCCCCTGCCTCTTTTTTGCTCGTGCAGTTTTTGATTTTGGTTTGGTTCCCAGTAGCAAGGCCAGGAGCAACTAGTAGCATCCATCCTTCTAGTGAGATCTACGGCAGGCAACCTTACTAGGCACAAACCTTGAAACAGGTGTTAACACACACACACACAACTTGTTCTTCGAAGAGCCGGCTTGAAGAACCGGCGGACGGTGTTCTTCAAGACTCTAGCTGTTACTTCTCGCACTTTCTGCATGGAACCATTCTGCGCACCGCTCAAGGGTGGAAACCTGGATCCATCCGATGTGCCAGCAGTCGTGGAGGTCTTTTCCAAGTCCAGCGGTCAAGGAACTTGGTTCGTGGGCTTGGTTGTGAAACAGGAGCAGGAACTTTTGACCATTCGATTCTTCGATGAGTGTGGAGAACGGAAGGAGAAGCTTCTAGCTTTAGATGCTGAAGAGGTGGATTACTTTGGGAGCCACTTGGGGTGGCCTACGCCGCCGTCCGTGGTGAAAGTGCCTTCCACCACGCGGAAGGGCCAAGTCTCGTATTTGGATCCTGCGATGCAACAGAAGTTTGCCACGCCGGAGCTGGCTTGGCAAGCCTACTTGGAGCAGCATCTCAAACACGGACACGCGCCGGAACGGCACCGTTGTCCAACCATCACTCCACTCAACCAACCGAGCGCTGCGCAGGGGTCTCCACCGACCTTGATGGAGAGCCTTCGAGACCGCGGGACCGAGCCGCGCTCGCTGACGGCGAAGATCTCCCAGCTCTGCGAGAAGTCCTTGGAGCGCTCCGACCTCGGCGACCTCCTCGGACCTCGGACCGAGGCCACCGCGGCGGGCCGCTTGGCCGAGGAGTTGGCCGCCGCCCGCGCCGAGGCCGTCCGAGCCGTCCAGGAGCGGCGCCGGTCGGCGGCGCGGCGGGGGACGTGAGAGAGGGCGCAGGCGCAGCGCCCGTCGCCGGCGCCAAAGGATGCCAGACCGGACCCAGGTCCTTTGCGCGAAAAACAGGATGGAAACAGTTGGGCTTCGTGTTGAGATTTTGGGTTTCTCCCAAAAGGGCCCGCCTCTTCGGACTCGCCTCCGAGGCGCTCCCGAGCTCGGGGCACCCAGTGTCTTGACGGTGTGCACCGGTCGGGAAAGACTCGCCTGGCGTCGGTCGCGGAACTTCTAGGGACAGAAAACATGATCCGTTTTTAGACGAAGTCGTCCTTGTTGATTTCCTGACTCAGACAGATCGACGCGCGGGCGATTTTGAGGCCCAAGAGAGGCTCCAGAAGAACCGGAGCTTGACAAGCCCGAGCTGGACAAGGCAAGCCACAAAAGGAAAGAAAACAGACACAAAACCCGTACTTTGGTGGGCAACCACCCCAAGTTTTGGTGAGGGCCTCTCTGGAAGAATTGTTTGTTTCACCATGAAACCGTTTTTTGGTGTGTGGGTGGTCTTTTCTTCTGTTTCATTTGCATGTTCAGATGGCCCTGAGACGCTAGGAGGAGTGGATCTCGGGGCTGGTGGCGTTAGATCGCGAGGCGGGACGGGATCCGCTGCATCTCTCGGGTGCCGATGCGAACCGTTCGGGTGAAGCAGCGTGATCGACGGAGGCCGCGGCGCTGGCGGAGGAGCTGGCCACGTGGCACCGCGGCTGGGCACGGGGCGAGCGGTGCGCCGCCGAGCTCGCCGCCTGCGCGGACGAAGGTGGCGAGGAGTCCCGGAGGCGAGGTCCGGAAACCCATCGAGTTCGGCTTGGAGACCTTTGGGTCATCAATTGCGGGGGTCATCAAGTTCGATTCTCACCTTTTCGAAGACTATTGGAAGGACCTGTTTATCAGGTCGACGACGGGGTTCGCGCCTTCGATCGGCGCCTTCAGGTGGACCGAGACACTTTGGATGGGACTCAGCGAGATCCGCTGCCAGGTGCCGCGGTTCGCGTCGCAGTCCCGGACGACCGGGTCGGGTCGTTTTTATGCCGCGTAGGGTGCGGTGCGGTGCCGGAGTTTCGATCACTAGACTAGGTGATAGCTATAAGGCATGCTATAGGATTCTATAAGCTATAGGGGAGTTCTTTGGGCGGTTCAGGAGTTCTTTTTCTTTTTTTCTCCCAGATCATCCATAGGTCCGAGAGAGTCGATGCTTGCAACCCGGCCGGTGACGCCGGTGACGCCGTCACCGCGCCGCTCCCCGCGATGCGGACAGGTGAGGAGCTTCGATCGCTGGAGCTCCAAGGTTCGGGCTTTCAATGGGGCCACGGTGCATGAGCTTTCAATGCTTTCCAGGCGCTCGAGCTCCGGATCGATGCCTACAAGGCCGGTGAAGAAGGTGGCAAGACGAGAAGGTGAATTCCTGGAACAGCCCTTGCTGGCTATGTACATAAAGCTTGCTGTCCGCCATGGATCCTCTCTGTGACCGTCGTCCGTCACACCGGTGAGGCGCGGCAGAGCGAGCACTTCGAGACCTTGGCCGACGCGCAGGAGTCCTTGGAGGCGAAACGGTCGACGCGGAGGGTGGACGGGTCGGGTCCCGGGAGGGGTTTGCACCGGGGTTTGCACCGCGTGGGGTTTTCCAACATCCGATCCTAAGATTTTAGGAGCTCAAGCGTAGCTTTCTTTTGGGTCTCAGATGTATTCGTCGGAGATGTCAGGATAGCCTCCCACGTTTCGCCTTCAGGCCGAGCGGCGAGCGGTACACATGTACACTCCCTCTTCACGTCTCACGAGTGATCAGCTCGACAGAGACAGGTGGCCACAGGACACCGAGTCAACCACTTCTCGTCCAGGTGGCCATCCAGAAGCTCGAGTGCCTTCAGTGCTTTGAGCCTCGAGGACGACGGGCGAAGCGACGACGAAGGGAGGGCAGGGTCGATGTCGGATGGGAACCGAGGGGAAAAGAAAAGGTCGTTGGTCTTCTTTTCTTCTGGACGAGGGACTCCATATTTTTTGGGACTCGGTTTCAATCACCTGAATTCACGTATCTAAATTCTGAGGTGTTTAACACATGTCGCTGTCCATTTTTGGCCACATCGAGCGCTTGAATAGCAGGAAAGCTTCCCCCCGGTGCCTTGAGGGCGGAGCTTCAAGATCGAAGAAGCGTGCCTACTGCTACCTACTCCCTGCCGAACACGTTCGCCCCGAGGCTTCGAACCGCTGGAACCGCTGGAGCCGCTTCCCTCGGCGCCGAACAACGGTGTCCAGCACTCGGTCCGTTCGACCCTCGGTCTAGTGGCGTGGACGGATTGACATCGAATCATTGAAAGGAGGAAGAAGATGCTTCTGTTTATTCAGAGTCTATTCTTTTGTTCAAGCTGCAAAAACCAGCATGAAACGATGCTCCGGACTTTTGTCACTCTAAGAACTCATACTCCCACATCAGAGCGCCTTCTTGACTGAGTCTCTTTGTTCACTGCTCGCCAACGAGTAGAACTAAGGAGCGACTCTCGTGTTTTCTCCCGGAGAGGTCTGAGCGACCCTGCTCGTTTTGCACCGATTCTCCCATGGCCGTCTCTCTCTCTCTCTCTCTCTCCGAGGCAAAGCGCCGGTGAAGGCGACTTCGGGACCACCGCAATCTGACGAACGGAAGTGGCTGACTGGTTGCTACAGGTGCTAGGTAAGCCGGCCTCGGCCTTGGTGCCCTTTTTTCCCTATTCAGGCCTTGGTGACTTCACTTTTCGGTTGCTGAACACAAGCATTCGACCCCGCACCAGGCAGCCTCCGTTCCTTTGCCGTTCCGTTCCGCCAAGCTTCGGGCCTTCGTCAAACTGCAGGAAGATGCGGAGCTTCAGGAGCTGAAGGCGGAGCTGCTGAAGCTCGATGAGGCGCCGCCGTGGGCGTTCGACAACGGCCTTGTGGTGTGGGGGCGACCACAACGGTGGCCCCGCACGTGTTCTGCGGTGGTGGAAACCTCTGCACGACGTGTGAACGAGCGGCGCATTGCTTATTGCATCTTATTGCACCATATTGCGCCCCCCCTGCGTTTCGCCGGTCTTTCAACATGTCCTGTCTTTTCTTGCCTCGTTCATTCCCGGATCAGGAGTTCGGTGCGTTCTTTTTTTGCGTTCCGGAGTATGTCGTGGATGTAGCGGAAGCACGTTCTTTTCTTTGGTCAAGATGAGAGACAATACCATCAGGAGTCAAAGACCATGAGAATCATTCATAAATGGTCATTTTAGGCGACCTGAACAGGAACTTCCATGAACTTCAATATATCTTCTTTGGACTTCTACAGTTTCTACAGCGTATAAACAAAAATAATACATTACGGGTGCCCAATGGAGACCTGTAAGTAGGGTAGGGTAGTCTATTCGACATAGTAATATCAGTAGCATATAATCTGTTTTCTACAGGGGCCATGGATAGTTCGTTATGTCTTCAGCTTGTCTCCCCAACGGCGCAGGCTCCGGGCGGCACCGGTGGCTGGCGTGCTTCACGGCACGAGGCTTGGCGTGTTCACCGGGCGGAGCGGCGGAGCTCGGAGCCTACAAACCCTGGTTGAGTCCAGGAAAAGGACCTAGTTTTTAGTTCCTCCCCAGGTCATAGTGGTGGATGGAATTCTTCCTACTCATTTCTCTTTATGTATCCGTTTTCTGCTTCCTACCAGGACCTTCCCACCTTTTGAGATCCCAGAATGAGGTCACTTAGGTCTTGAAAAGGTCACTTACCAATCCTGAAGAGGTCACTGAGAAGGTCCTGGTATGTGAGCGTTCGTGACCGGTGCGACGTGGGGATCTGCATGTCACCTGTCGTCGCCGTCGAGTGGATCGATCGTGCGAACGAACTAAGAGGTCTCCAGACGACGTGGCACTTGGCCTGTCACGTGCGCGGAACACGAGCCAGACATGCCGACATGCCTTTCAAAGATCGAAGGAACTCTATGAAGCGCTATGAAGGAACGGAAGCCTTCCAGGTTGGACACATATAGCCATATAGATCCATTAAAACAAAACCCAGGTCGACCCGACCTGATCGCCCCCGCGTGGTCGCCCGATGCCGCGATGGCGGACCCTCTCGTCGACCCGCTCTTCACGCTGGGCGGGGCAGCGCTGGAGGAGCGCGGCCGTCTCAAGAGCTCAGCCTATGCAGATCGGCACCGGCGTGGCGGAGTTTGGGGATGCGCAGTTTGGGAGTTGAAGTCCTAGTTGGGAGTTTATTTATCAAAACAACTCACAATATCTCACCATATAATATATAGTCCATGAATTCATTTTTTTCATATGCAGTTTCCAAAACAGTAAGTAAGAGCACCACCACAAACCCACCCAAAGGCGCTGGGGAGGAAAGGAGACAGAGAAAGCCACAGTGTGGTCCTGCGCCAAATGGCGCAGTCGTGCGCCATGTGACTCATGTGACTGTCCATATCCAGAGGGTTTCGCAGGATCACCTCGCGAGGCAGTCGGGGATCTCCGCTGATCACCACGTTCGCCGCTGATCACTCGATCCGCTCCCGCTGCATGAGGCCAAGTTCATCGTCCAGTTTCGCTCCGAGTCCAGGAACAGGCGCGATCCAAACGGATCTGTTCCAAACAACGGGCCTTTCTCCTTTTTCCTTTCACGCTTTGAGGTCGACCGGACCGAAGAAAGAACGGGGACGGGGGCGTCATGGACGCCACCAGGGGGGCGACCCCTTCGAAACTCTCATGGCCTTCGGAGGCAGGAGCATCCCCAGCCCTCGCTGCCGGGCTTGCGCAGCGGCGAGACGTCCGAGTCGCACCTGCGTTGCTGGGAAGACTCGAAGGGCGCCGGTTGGATCGCCGCCGTGCAAGGCGCGCGGGCGAACGCGTGCGCCCTCCGCATGGTTCGGTGGTCGGACGACGCCAACCCGACCGCCGACGGCTCCGCGTTGGGAGGCAAATCGGCTTGGTTCAGTTTGTCTTCTTGGGGCTCCTGGCGCCTGGCCTTCCTTTTGGCCAAGCTCCAACGAGACTTGTGGCTGAAAGGCGTGTAGACCTCTCGCGTGGTGAAAGGAGTTGAAAACCACCAGAAAAACTGCTTCCGGATCGCAGATCTGAAACCCAGTCGACCTTCTCCAGCTTTCCCACCCCTCTCTCTCTGTCTCTCATTCTCTCTCTCTCTCTCCTTGGCAGGTGGCGTTGAGGCCGGGCCGCCGCAGGTTGTTGCGCCCAGAACATCTTTGTGAAGGGAACGTCGCACGGGACCCCACGTGACAGATATAATTCTGTTTCACCCGCTCTCGGGACCCGCGACGGTCTGAGTGTCTCCCGTCAGGTGCGGACGGTGAAGACGTCGACGGAAGAGGCCAAGGCCGGAGTCTCCGTCGCGTTGGTGGAGTCCGATTTGGTAATTTTTGTCGAATTTGTGGTTTTGTCTCCACAGTTTTTGTCGAATTTTTGTTGGTTTTTGCAATGTTTCTTGCCATATGCCATGTAGGTCAGCGGTCAACGAGGACGACCCAGGAAGGAACCCAAAGAGGCGACGGGTGATTTGTTGGGAAACAGATGACACATTTTCCTTGCGAAGTTGGCAGGTTCCAGAACCACGTCCAGAGAAATGCCAAAAGACTGAAGTCACGCCAGACCTTTCAGCGTCTCAACTCAATTTACTGTGTGAATTCGTGTCAGATCTATTCCAGTTACACACTTGGAAAGGATACGCATTTCTTGACCCTTGAAATGTCTCCAACATTCAGTGTGTGAGTGCCCAATGAGCTTCATTCGACGTCCTTGAAGTCAGCAAAGAAGGCGAGCGTCCCTGAAGATGTACTAGAATTGTGTGGATTCAACACGGATGGATAACCACGTGCGATATTTTTTCTCCTGGCGCCCGGGCGCTCGGCGCCGAAATTCTGCATAAAGCCTATAGTCAGCTAGTGGTGCCACGCAAGCGGCTCTGATGAACCTTCAAAAGAGCGGCAAAGACTTGCTGACATTGCTTGATCTGTGGCAACCGATGGTTGATTTGCTTCATTCTTCCGCCTTGTAGCAGAGATAGACACCTTTTGGCAGCTAAAGTGGTGATTTCAATGATTTCACGGATCCAAAACGGACCCGCCAACAGAGCGCGACGACAATTCTTCAATCCTTATGCTGCTTGTCTACGACTGACTATTATAACTTCTGTGCTTGGTGTGCGCGTTGCAGCTTCCTTGTGCCGACCTCCACACACTGGGAAATACACGCGCTGGCTCCCCACACAAGTCTTTTTGCTCGGAGATTGAATACTTTGAACACCTCGCTACGCTCCAAGGCTAAAGCGGCTAAAGGCCGAGGACGAGGACGACCCAGGAAGGAACCCAAAGAGGCGACGGGTGATTTGTTGGGAAACAGATGACAAATTTTCCTTGCGAAGTTGGCAGGTTCCAGAACCACGTCCAGAGAAATGCCAAAAGACTGAAGTCACGCCAGACCTTTCAGCGTCTCAACTCAATTTACTGTGTGAATTCGTGTCAGATCTATTCCAGTTACACACTTGGAAAGGATACGCATTTCTTGACCCTTGAAATGTCTTCAACATTCAGTGTGTGAGTGCCCAATGAGCTTCATTCGACGTCCTTGAAGTCAGCAAAGAAGGCCGCGTCCCTGAAGATCTGAACCAGAATTGTGTGGATTCAAGACGGATGGATAACCATGTGCGATATTTTTCGGGCGCCCGACTCATTGTATCCCTCCGCTGGTATAGTCGTGATCCTCCACTTGTTCACGAGTAACGGGCTTTCAGGCTTGGCGCCGTACGAGTTCGGAATCACGTGACTGCGCCGACTGCGCCGAGTTTACTCGGCGCGCGCCACGTTGCCCCGACTTCATCGTCCAAAGAACAGGTGGCGACGGCAACTTCACCCGACTTCTGGGTCTGAAGCTTCGCTCTGTCAAGATGGAGGTTGAAAAAGGTCTGGTCCGAAAAAGGGGAAGATGGAGGCCCTGTCAAGATGAAGATTTGGCTTTGAAGGTCTGGTTTGGTTCACATCAAACCTCCCATCGCGCGTCCCGACGATCCGACGAACGCCAACGCGGCCGTCCGGACGCCCAGGCGACGCCCGACCCGGCAGACCCTCCCGCCGACCCGGAGACGGAGGTGTCTTGGCGTGGGAGCAAGCGCGGGGCGTGGTTGCGAAGAGAGACCCGTGGGACCAACATGGTGATCCATTTTTGGAAGCAAAGACGATTTCTTTGGACCTCCGAAAGAGATTTCCTTCTTCGGGTCGTCTAATGCTCATCATTTCCACAATGAGAGTCCTTGGACTTGATCCTTTGGAGAAGATCTGGTCGAATACCTCGTGCACCGAGGACCCCGCGAGGGCGCCGAGGCAGGAGACGCTGGTCGCGCCAGCGCCGGTCGGGCGCTGGTCGCGCGGGCGCGCGCGGGACCGGCCATGGCCAGGTTTCCGGAGGTGCCCAGCGCGGAGCAGTTGCATGAGCTGATGAACGAAGGTCGCCTCACATCCTTTGTGAGCGCCCCAAGAGTTGGGGGTGTTCGTCGTCCACCAGGATGGTCGTTAGTGGCCTTGTGGTATCAGTTGGCTTCTCAGCTAAGAGCCCAAGTATAGGTGTAGTAGGTCGGGAGAACGTGGACATGTTTTCACCCACATCGGTCCCCAGGTGCGGTGGAAGAAGTGGCCCTTCATCTACAGCCCTGCGTGGGAGGCGTGCGTGAAAAAGACGAGCACACATTATGAGCACACCACTGGACATGCCGGGTATGAAATTCAGTGCTTTGTATTGAATTGGCCTTCCCAAACACCCTCCACTCCCCCATCCGATTAGGGAAGACGTGCTCCAAAAAACAGAGCTTTTCGTTTTTCACATGTTTTCACACGCTGTTTTCCACACGGGAAAAAGCGCCAGAAGCCAAAACCAGCGCCGCGACACCGCCCGAAACTCGGTGGTTTTCACTGCGGCAGGGCCAGCGCTGGAGCAAGCTCTTGGAGGACAAGTCCCGTCGAAATGAGCCCAACCCCTGGAAGCCAAAGATCAACGATCATTTGACCAAAAGGGGACCAGGTCGGACCTGCTTCACCAGGGAAAAGTCTAGCCGCCTAAGCCTTATTGACGTTCCCGTCTAGCCTTCGGGTCTGGCCTTCTCGCTGCGTGGACCTCAACCTCGACCGGGGGCGGCGACCGGGGGAAGCTTGAACCGTCACGGTCTGACTGGGATGGACCTGTGTCCGCCGAGCCAGTGACGTCGCGTGACGTCGAAGGTCGCGCGTGTGGGAAACTGAGGGGAGGTCAGCGCGTCGCTGGGATGGGCAGAACGGCCACGTGGTCGTTTGGAGGTGTCTGGAAGTACTCGCCTCGAAGTTGTTTTTTGGTGACGCGTGTCAGAAGTGCGGTTTCGGTTGATGTGGGAACGAAGATGTCGTCACTATTCGTGGCGTGTTCTTTGGGACGGATGGCGGTTGGAGGAAGATGAAGCAGTTGGTTTTTGGAGATTAATGTAGGTTTATGTCACTGTGCCTGCTATTGGGATGGAGTATCCTCAGCCATCATCACCGTCGCCAGTGTTCACGCGCTAGCTCGATGGAGAGAAGAAGAGAGGAGGAGAGAGGAAGAGGCAAGGATGAAATAAGAAGGAGTGGAAAGAATAAGCGGAGGGTAGCAAACAGGGATGGGGAGATGGGGCCGCAGGTGCAGACAAGAGGAGACGTCGTTCAACATCTTGGCCCAAACATTGGAACTGAGGAACGGCTTAGGGCGATGGCTGCGGGGGTGTTTGTCCGGCATCTTCTGCAGAACATGACGGGACAAAGCCTGCAAAGCACCTCCGCCAGGGTCTGAGGCTTGAGCATTACGCATGCTATCAGGCTCTTAAGAGTTGCAACGTGTGTTCACAGCTCACGTGTTTTTCTTCTGTCGGTGCCAACCAGTGTCCCGTAAAGCGTTTTCATTGTACATCGCAGTTCTTCAGGGTGCGTTATCCTGGGTGTCTTTGTCCGTGCCCTTCGGCGCGGAAGGTAAGGTTGGTCTTCCGACCAAGATCGAAGTGCGCCCGTGCAGGACGTGACATCGGGGGCCCTCGGCAATGAAGACCTGCTGGAAGAAATCCTCATGAAACTCCGCAGGCGCGGCCATGTGGCGCCACCAAGCAAGAAGGGCTGGCCCAACCCTCGCGAGACTCGTCGCGCGCGACTCGTAACGTTGCGCGTGTGGTCGTTGCAGGCAAGCAGCGGGCGAGAAGCTTTCAAACTCGAGGCCCGTAAAATCTTTGGCGCGTAGGTTTTTGTATCTGATGGTTACCTGCCACGCAGCTTGTGCGTTTGCATTTTTGCTAGTCCTCCACAAATCAAACATATCGAACCAATTCAACTTGCGTGTGCTGTCAAAAACTCCGTCGTTTCCTTCAAGTCTTTTCAAAAGAGGTGACTGACCGATTCGACCGATGTCGGAATTTCCCGAGGCTCCTGCGGAAGCAACGCGAGGCGCAGCGGAAGCGCGCGGCCGCCGAGGCGGCGGAACGCCCGGCGCCGCAGCGACGGCCACCGCCGCAGGCGCCGGCCGCGAAGAGAGGGCGACCGACGTGAGAGGGCGACGTGGATATAGAGATCCAATATCAAAACAAATCACATAGTCTGTTCCAGTGACCTTCCCACCTTTTCAGATTCCAGAATGAGGTCGTCTCGATTTCAGGTCACTTCTCAATCCTGAAGAGGTCACTGAGAAGGTCCTGGTAGACAGCGATAGAACGGGTGTCTTTTCTTCCTGCTTGGGTTCAATTGACTACGTCCAGCTTTGGACATCAACCGCAGATCCAGACTTCCATGGTTTGATGACTTGCTCACACGGCCACAAGACCTGCTGAGACATCTCAAAGCGAAGCATCCAGTATCATGACGTTTGGAGGAATGCTTCCGTCAAGATATTTTTGTTCCTAGTAGCGATGCCAGGAGCCCCTAGTAGCTTCCTTGCTCCTAGTAGTACGGCCAGGAGCCCCTAGTAGCTTCTTGTTGCTAGTAGCGACGCGAGGAGCCCCTAGTAGCTTCCTTGGAAGCACTCCCATGGTCATTGAATGTAAATTTCTTCAAAGTGGAGGTCAATTGGATGTTCCTCTGAGGTGCCTGGCTGCAGCTGTGGGCGGCCCATCCATACTGAGAGGCAACGAACCACACCGAACATGTGAACGTTTGCTCGCGCCCTTCCAGTTGAGATCAGGAAAGTACCACAGGGCCCCCTAAGGGGTGTCCAATTAGAGCTCCTTAGAGGTTAAGGGATGTCCATTAACCACCCCATTAACTTCTGGAGATCTCGGTCCAAGTCCGGCGTTGGACCACTTCCAGAAGTGATCTGGTATTTCTGTACATTCGACGCCCAGGTGCCGCCTCTTCCGTCCGCGCTGCGAGGTCCTTCCCTCGGTGTGTTGGGGGCATATGCCATAGGAGTCTGTATACGCCCAAGGCCGCGCATGAAATTGGCTTCACTGCATCTCGACATGCTTATAAAGTTTTTAAGGCATTTCTTGGAGTGCAGTTGCTTGGTCGTGTTTTGCTCTTCTCCACATAGTCCTACACATGGTTCCACACGCGCCGTGTGAAACGGCGCTCCGACGAGGCCCGGGCGCCGCCCCACCCACCGCGGCCGCCGCCCCCTCCGGGTCCATCGGCTGCGGCGCGGTCGTCCGGCGAAGGAGAGCCGCTCACGGCGGCGGCGAAGCAGGCGACCCGGGGTTCAGAGGGGGCGAAAAAGGGAAGAGGCGCCAAGGCTTCAAGGAGCCGATCTATTGCGTTTTTTACCGAACATATTTAGGAAAGAACACGGAGGAAAGCGTGGCCAAGATAGAGTCAGGACACAGGCCTGAAATATTTAGTTCTGTTGGTTCTATAGCTGTTTGCTCAGTCAGGCAGCTAGCAAGCATGCACCTCGCTTTGTGCCTCGGGTCACTGAGCCAAACCCAAAGAAACCAGGGCAAAACCACGACCAAACGTGAACGGCACAACAAAGTGGAAACAGGGTTGATAAATAGCATCCGTTTGAAATAGATGCTGATCTGATGTTTTTCTTGGTGTCCATCTAGTTTCCTCATGCTTCCCTATAGCCTTCAAAGAGGCAATGTTAAACAGGGTTGATCTGGTGTTAGTAGTGTAAAAAAAGCCGTCAAATCCGCTGTTCGGGATTCAGGCTCTTTGACTAAATGGGTGGGTCAGCAGTCGTAACATAGGGGCTTCCTGAATTCACGTGGTCTTTGGGATTGAAAATCAACCCACCCACCCCGGGAACGAGGACGACGAGTTCGTCTCCCTCGGATCGAGGTCTTGCAGTTGGAGCGGCACATCGAAGCGCAGCCGAAGAGTCGACAGAAGCTGCTGTGGAAGCGAGCCATGCTGAGGCGCGCTTAAGCCAACGGCGCCGCGACGGCGACGCCCCCGTTGCGATCGATGGTCGAGCGATCGGTTGCCTCCAGGTGCCATCCTGATAAGGTTAAGGAGGCGAGTTCCGAAGCTCAAGCAGCAGAGGCCCCACTCGCGCAACGATGCGGCGCGATGCGGCGCGATGCGGCGCGATGCGGCGCGGTGCGGCGGAGCCAATGCCTCTGTCTCCAAGTCTCAGCGACCGATGAAGATGGCCGACCAGACGTTCGACTTCTTTCGTTCGCCGTTCGCTGCACGGGGAAGTGAAGTCCCTGCCCCGTCAGCGACGTTCATCGTTTCCAGACCGGCCCCAGGGACGTGGGACGATTGGAGAAGGAACATCCATAAAATCTATTATTCTTTCTTTTAAATAAGGAGGTAACATCCATCAGGTTGATGATCCATATGTAACATCCATAATGGTTCAGGAGTCCATCATCTACATGACTTGTGGACCTCAGATCTGAAAGCAATTAATTTGGTCCACGGTGACCAGACCCGAACGAACGGTGACCATGACCCGAGCACCTGGAGGACCCTGGATGCCTCTGTCTGTTGTCGCGGCAAGAGTCGGACGTAGTTCTTCTCCAGGTCTTCATTGAGGTGAAGAAGAAGTACGACCTCTTCGTGAACCTCAATGACTGAGCGAAGAAGTCGAATGCCACGAGCGCGGTCCGGGCGTGGGTAGACAGACTGTTGAGCTCGGCGGACGTGCGCGGAAGGCCGGTCAACAAAGGTCGAGTCGTCTCGACTTGGAAAGGCCCACCTTGCGGTGGAATGGAAGCGAAAGCTGCCGGGCATCCAGACCGCTGGTTTTAAGACCTGTCTTCGTCGGGTGCTGGTTTTGGATCCAAACGAACATATCTCCTCATGTTGGGGTTTGGTTCATCCAGTGAGTAGTGAGTGGATGTTCTGGGCACTCCGACTTCCTCCAATAGGCACCCCTTTGTGACTCCTGGTATATCCTGTTTCGTCCGTGTCCATGGTGACGTTCTGCAAGGCCTTTCTCCGTATCCTGCGCATCTTTCGCATGCAGGTGTGGTGCTATCTGCTATCTCTGGTTTGTCGTTACAAACTCTTGCGACACGACGCCGAGCAGTTTTCACCGCCTTCCGCACGCGCCAGTTGACGCCGGAATGCTACACCCGCTTGGAGCAGCAGTTTCCGGATGTGAGTCAGGCGAGCGGGAGGGGAGGGGCTCCGGAGACGGTTCGAGTTGTCTGAGAACGGCGCGGCAGTGTTCTTTTCATTGGGCGTCCTCTCTTTTCTGGGCACTGTACACTGTATTTGGTAATTAGACTGACTTCCAAAATACACAGAAAAGTATAGATCCCCACTAAGACTACAGACGTGTGTGTGCAATTAGGAACGACCACTATAAATAGAATGTCGCCAGAAGCCATCCCAGGTGGATCTGGCCGAGCACTTGCGCTTCTGCCACGCTCAAGACGCGCGTCAGGCGTGACCTTGTACCGGTCGTACCGACCGGTCGGCGCCGACCGACTCGTCCGGCCAGGCGCGGCGGCGCGTGCTGTTGGCACGCTGGCGGCAGCGAAAGCTGCTGCTGGAGAAGCAGGTGTCGACCGGGTCGACGCACGGAAGCGCGGATGGAATTCTGCGCGAGACGAAGGGGAAGAACGTCATCGCCAAGCAAGAGCGGATGAAAGTCAGCCCATACCCGTGGTGCTTTCTCACCAACATTCTAAGAAAAAACCGTTGAAAAACACACGCTGTTGTACCAGAAGCCAATTGGCAGAAAAAGAGCCTTTCTTCGTTGCAGGAACCCAAAGAGGTCAAGGCACCGGGACTTCGACTCGCGGTTTCGTCGCGAGTCGTTTGGTTCGCCGTGGGCGTGCCAGACGGAGAAAGAAACGCCCAAAAGAAGCTTAAGAAGAGACACCAAAAACATCTGAAAAACCAAAACCATCAAAGAACGAATTGAACAAACCAGACAGTCTTGTTTATATTGCACCGCGTTGTCTGATGTCTGTCCAACCTTCGACATTGCTCTCAAACACCTCACAGGCGCAAGCGCGCCCAGCATCCTTCCGCGCTCGTGAGCAGAGACGCAAGGCGCGCGGATCTCTCGCTGTTTGCGTTGCTCAACTCCCGATGGCGAGATGCCGTGCCGGCCCTCTGCCAGGTGAAGCAGTGGCGAGCAGCCAAGGCCAAAGAGGCGATTCCGACCGCCACCGAGCCGGGCCGCGCGGCGCCGGCAGTATCGTCGAGCCTGCGGGGCTGCGTCGAGAAAATCTCGGCAGGAGATGCTGCGAAGTGCTGAGGAGAAGCAACGACAAGAAGCCACAAAGGCGCACTGACTACGGGCGACCGTATAGGATGGATAGGTCACTGAAATGAACTGTTAAAACACATTCCTTGCAAAGGAACCTCTCGAACCTCCAGAACAGACGAACGAAAGGAACCTGAAGACGAACGCAGCAGGTCAACTGGACCCACCCCACGCGTGGAGCCGCCCGTCGCTGCCAGGCGTGCTTGGAGGCGCAGCGGAAGAGGCGCGAGAAGAAGTCGAAGGAATCCGCCGAGGCGCCGAGCGGCTGGGCGCGATGGCCGGCCAACCGTAAGAGCCAACCGATGCAAACGCAGAAGTGAGTCATGGAAGAGTCACTGTCACTGACTGCTGAACGCACGGTGGTTGAGATCTATCCAAGTCACGAAGTCGACCGCTCTGAGCCTTTGACTAAGGCCTATCGGAAACAACGCGACGAAGAGAAGCGGCAAGTGTGTTGGCCGCATTTCGGACAAGCCAGCACGTGCAAGCGCCAAGCAGTGCAAGACTTGCTTTGCAGGTCTTTCTCTATTTTCAAGTTGGCTCTCTTGCTGTGGCGATATATGACGACGCCCCTCTTTTATCTCTTTTAAATACATATCATTTCAGCAATATTGTTTCGGACGGGTCGGACGACCAAAACGAACGCACAACTCCTTATTTTCTTTTCGGATCCTGCCCTTTCAGGCCCAGATGATGGCCGAGCTGCGTGCCGTGCGACCCGCGCAGCAGCTCTCCGAGGCGACCGGCGCGACCGGCGCAGAGCTGCGCTGCGCGAAAAATATACCATGTTGCGACCACGCAACTAACCACTGAACAACACCAAGTGAAGGAAGGTCGAGCTGTGAATGATCTTCAAGCTGTCTTCTTTTGGTCTCGAACTTGTCACCAAAGCTAGCATGCTAGCTGAGTTCTTCTTTGCTTTTTGGGGTGTGCATTCAAAACCAGGATGTCAAAGACATCATGCACTTGAATTTTGGATGATCCTGGGTAGCGGAAGCACACGTAATTATTGGAGAATCAAGATGACACTCATGGGATTTTGCATGCGTTTTTGCAAAACATCCACTGATTTGGTGTTTGTATTTAGGATTCATTGAGGAGCTTTGTCGGAAGCATGGTCAGCTTCGTCGGAAGCATGGTCATTTGCTCGTTTTTTCTTGTGGATGCATCACATAACATTCCGGCTGCGCCTCGTCAGTTGATGAATCTTCATTACCTGAGAGCAAAGTGTTTGAGTTTACTGTCTTCGACATGTGTGGTTTGGCAAAATTGTTGATTGTATCCATACCTGCCAGATTTGCTACCGGCTATTGCCCCAAGACACTCTATTCCTTATACCTTTTACCAGTGTTTATCCT